AAAGTGTCAGTTTGTGTTTTAAACCCCTTTGGGGGTCCAAAGGGCCCAAAAAATTTGAAGTCACGCACCTGTCCAAGAAATTTTAAAAAAAAAAAAAAAATTTTTTTTTCTTACAAAATTTAAAAGCATATTTTTGTAAAGGTAAAAAAACAAAAAAAATTAGAATCTGTCAGTATTTTCCCGAGTAATGCCAAGAAGTTTTAAAAAATGATGTGGGGCGGCAACATCGAAAATTTCCCCCATACGCGATTATTTTTTTGTTTTTTTTAGTTGTTTTTTCTTTTCTTTTAAATTTTTTTCTATTCCTACAAACTTTGGGGCTGAGAGCCCAATCTGTAATAATTGAATAATATACTCACGTATTGAACAAAAAACCGCACTAAAGTTATTATCATATTATTGTTTACACGTTGTTTTTAAAAACATGACAAATATTGTATAATACAAATGTTCTATCTATATTTCATATTTACAATCACTGGACAGGGTTTTGAACTGCTGGAGCTTGTGGAACTCCTTGAAAAAAGGGCCCATGCACAAGGCACCTTACTTCCCTCAACATAAACCGAGTGTCTTTGCGTCTTTGTTGCCGTCGTTTTGTTTTGCACAGAAATGCATCTCTTTGAGCAAATTTCTTTTGAGTTAAAGGGAAGCTGATTATGAAATGACACTTCTCTTCCAAAAGCTTGGGTTATGGGATGAATTCAGGACCATTTTGTTTTGCGGTGTTGTTGCCTGGTACTTCATTATGAGTTGTCTGAAAACAGACAAACAAAATTCCCATTGGTGGTTGTTACCAGTCTTTATTTGGCATTTTTAATGCATTCGCATTGAAATGCCATGGATGGAAAAAAATTTTCTGTACCATTTGTAACTCTTACGAACACAGTCAACAAAACCAATCTGCATGTCAACTTGTAAACCAAGCCATTTTTTGTGTATTAATCAATCAATGTCAGGGTTTTCAATACGTTCTTTGGTCCCCTCGATCAACTTTGCCACGTCTTGCATTTATTGGGGTTGAATGGTTGTCAACAATGTGACATCCTTTTGTCTGCCCCCGAATGCCATGATGCTTGGCAAAAAACCCCCTGCACGTCATCACCACAAACCCCCTGCGTTGAGCCGGGGCATATGTTTTGTTAGAACGCACTTTTGCCACAACATCTGTTTTTGTTCACCGCATAAAATCACTGGAAAAGAGCTTGTGTACAGTTTGGGTTTTATAAATGTAGGCCTTACCAAGATAAGGTCATCATTTTTTTCCAACTCACCTGATATCCCCAAATAACATTTGGTTCTTTAAAGTTTTACTACCTTTTACAAAAATATCCAACACCAGGCCACTGTCACAATCACAGAGTAAAACAATTTTATACCAAAGGGGTTTCCTCTTGCTGGTATATACTGCTTGAATGACAGTTTACCTTTTGAAAAAAAATAAAAAGACCCAATTACAAGATTCTTGAGGAAAAAAAGTTACCCAAAACTTTTGTTGAGTACAGAAAACATTTCTAATCTTTAAAACCCTGTCATTTCTTCGGGCCCTTTTTTGTAGAGAAGTGCAACTACGTAACAGTAAAAAAAACCTGTTCACGGGTTTATTTAACTGAAGGTGGGGTACAAATTCCCGATCTGTGGACCATATGCTTTTATATTTGGTAAGACTGGGGATAGCATTATGTTGCAAAAAGCAAATACATTTTTGAACGTCGTTTTTTCCACCCGTGTTTCTTGCTGTGGTGATAAATGTATTTGCCAGGTGATGAAAAAAAATTATTTCTTTCCTGCAATTTTCCATCAAAAGGGTGGTTTAAAAAAAATTCAAAAAATTCCCGTTCTTGGTGTGGGGTTCCAAAGGGGCGTAGGTGAATTCCCTTTTGGGGTCATCAAAATGGTGGGGGCTGGGAACAAAATTGGGATTTTGCTGCCCCAAACCCAGATCGGTTTTCTGGTGGTATGGACTCATAGGTGGTTGTACGGGGGGTTGTGGCGGGGTGGGGGGTGACGCTCCGCTTTGTCCTTTAACTGACGAGTCAGCAGCGTGGGGTTTCCCCCGGGGGCACAGCGAGTCACGCATGGGGGTGCCTACCCCCACCAGCCCCACTAACACCCTCCCCTATGTCTTGGCCCATCCCTGCCAAATGTAGCCAACATCCTCATTACTACCCAAAACGGGTGTAGGGCCCCGGGTTACTCCGGGATGTACTCCCTCCCCCGGGGACAGCAAGGGTTTCATACCCGAGCGCTGCGGCGGCAGACAAACCCGACCTTCATGGTGAATAGTTTTCCCCACATCACTACTCGAATGATGTCGGCGCAATAAATACAAACCACGTCAGAACATGTCTTACTGAAGTCAGGGCCGGCCCGGGGAAAATATTAGTTTTTTCTTACGTTTAAACACCCACGGGAGTCACAGTGCCCACACCGAGGTAGAAGGCGAGGACGTCGGGGTTTTCTGCACTATTACGATATCGGTCATTATTTTTGGTCACAACTTATCAAAAACCGTAGAATTCGTTTCATTTCCACTTCCATCAGTGTCAGAACTATCAGACAGGAAGGGAGAGTCCCAATTTTCCGGGGGGGGGAGAGCGACTTGCGAGAGGGATGGTGAACAAGGGGACTGAGCCGGCGTTCCACAATGCTATGCAGGCGCCTAGATTTTTTTTTATGGGCACACCCCCGGCACAGCCCTTCCTATTGTAGGCCTATGAGCGCTTTTGCGCTAAATTGACGGCGTAGAATTTTTTTTCGTAGATCTATGGTTTGGCACTCACCGACCCGCCGTAGATCTATGGGCGGACCCCGAAAGGGGTTAAATTTAAAATTTTATGTGGTAAAAAAAAAATTTCTACTTTGTGGTTCTTGACAGATTAAAATTTTTTTCCATATTTCTTATTACCTGGGTTTACCTGGAGAGATTTTTGGGGGGGCAACGGCCCCCGGCCCCGGGCTTTTACCAGGCCCCCTGGGGATCAGCGCCTGATAACAGGCTGTTGCTGCTGGGTGCACCCAAACCAACGTATAGCCACAGCCCCGGGGATCAGGGAACTGACTTTAGGTGTTGTCCGTGCATTGAAGACGCCAGGGGTCGTTGGAATCCCCTTTTTGTGTGCTGGGGGGCAGTTAACAGTCTCGGGCCCTGAACTTTTGTATGGGCTCTTAAGGTTTTGTGACCCCCTGCTTTTCATTTGGGGGGTGGTGCACGTCTCCAAGTCTTTTGCTTTGTAGTGAGTGATTTTGTGTGCAAGTTCGGGACATCCCTCTAGGATTTTCCCGGTGTATATAACATGTATCCTTTTCCCCCCTGGTTCCAGGGAAAACAGGTTTAGAAAACCTTTTTGGGGAAAATTAATTCGCCTTTGTTTTTCTGCATACAAAGAGCTCTCAGGAATGGTTAAAATCGTATGCCCGGGGGGCCCCCTGTATAGTAAATTTCTGTAGAAATTTCACCCAGTCAGTATAAAACCCGTTTGTTTTGGGAAATTTTGGGGGCTGTATATAATGTCACCCTACTTTTCCTATATGTTTTTCACTTTGCCTAACACTGTTTTATGTTACTTGCTAATTTTAATGAATGTAATCCACACATTATGAAAGGATTTACTACCCATCAAAAAGTATGTAGCTGATTTGCTATCAATTTCATTATATTTTTTCACAGCCAGTTTAACTTTGTGGAATATTTTGCTTCTGAGTTACCATCCTTATTTAACCCCTTCAGGGTCCAAGGCCCAAATCTGAAGTGGTGCCCCAGTGTCCAAGAATTTTCAAAAAAAAAAAATTTTATTTTTTCTTATGAAATGGTAGAGAACCTTTTTGTAAAGGCAATAAAACAAAAAGTACGAAATTTGATGGAAAATTTACGAAATTATGCTCTCGCGAATTTTGATGTGTCAGCAATATTTACGAATCGGCGATTTTGCCAACTTTGACTCCCATTTTAGGCCAATTACATTATTCCAGTCAACCAAATTCTTAGCTATTTCACTAGTATTACTTCTATTCTATCAATTGAGCACAAGAAATCGCCAAGTCAACTGTTTCAACTACAAATTAAAGTGATCGGAAATTGTTAATTTGGCCAATTTAACACAAAGTTCAAAATATTCCAATTTCAAAATAGGGTCCAGAATAAACAATGTAGGTATTCCTGGAACTAAACTAACATTTCCTCTGTTCATTAGTTATGTTTTGAGGCTTTACAAATAAATTCCATTTTGATTTTTTATTCACATAATGAATTTTTATTCACACTAAAAAATAGGAGATTTACTGTTATGCAATACTGTAATAATTGTATAAATATCATCACCATATTTGTGAATGCATATTAGACCCACCAGCTGGCGGGTATTAGACGTGTGAGGTCGTTTGTTTACTCTTGAATATCGGCAAAAAATTAACATTTCTGCTACTTTGAGCTCAGTTTCAAGCCATTTCCAGTGCTAAAACCAATCAAAATCATCTCTATTTCTGTAATATGTCTTCCATTCTATCAAATGAGACCAAGAAATCGCAAATAGAACTATAAAAAACATATGAAAAAACACTGCAAAGTCGCTGTTTTAATAGAAAAATCATGATTTCATTTTTTTCTCCCATTATACACAACGTGCTGCAGGATCTGTTTTATGTGGTGCACACATACCACATAGATGTATTCTCTCATATCTAGGCCCAAATGTACCACTCACAGTTTATCAGAGTGAGCTGAGCTCATGACGTAGATCTACGGTTTGGACCCTGAACGTAAAGCCGTAGATCTACGGGACGGACCCTCAAAGGGTTAAATTCCAAAGTAATGATTTTCAGAGCATTTTATATCAGCAAGTGATATGACACTGGATATATGGGCACTGTTCACCATTAGGTATTATGAGACTTTTTTTTTTTTTTTTTTTTTTTTTTTAATATTTCTCTAATTTTTTAAGCAATAACAACTATACATGTATATTAGTTATTGCATTATATATATATTTGCTGTGTTGCAGGTGTGAAGCCTCTGGAGTGTCGTCTGTGCAACAAGCAGTTCAGTCATAGGCGGAGCCTTCGCAAGCACATGAGCAGTACTATACATGAGCATATGCTTCTCACCAATAATTTGCAAAAAGATCATGCATATGATCTCAAACAAAATTTTGCTTTTGTTTGTGAATATTGTGGAATCAAGTTGCCTACAAGACATATGCTGTCAAAGCATAGTCGTTTAGCACATGAGGTTGGTATTATCTGGAGTTGCCCTCATTGTGAATACAAGACAAAACGTAATCATGCTTTGAAGAGACACATGGAGCTCCATTTAGAGAGTCGTAATTTCATGTGTGAGGTATGTGGCAGTTCTTTTCACACGCTTGCTACCCTTAAGGATCATCACAGCTTCGTACACTCAGATGAACGCAACTTCAAGTGCTCTCAGTGTAATAAAAGTTTTAAGAATAAATCTTCCTTAGCACGTCATTCTCGCACGCATTCTGATGACAGGCCATATCAGTGTCACTGCGGAGCAAGCTATAAGAGACTCTCTCATTTAAAACGACATATTTTCTCAGCACACAATGAAATCTTAAAATCAAGAGCAGTGAAAAAGTTCATGCGGACTGAGGAAACAAAAAACAATACAGAACAATCTTTTGACAGGCAAGATCCAACACGTCCTACAGAATTTTCAGATGGTGAAGAATTTGAATTTGTATCTGTGTCTAATTCTTCTTTATCCCCAGTAATACAAACAGAAACTTCAGTAAAAAGTGCTTCTGACGTGCTTCTCCCAGCACAGGAAAGCATTATTCTAATGGGTGAGAGCTCTAATTCAGAACAGGGGCACCTCATTGCAGTTGCAGATTCACAGATCATTCAGCTCATACCTTCTACATTTCAGTTCCCTCAGGAAAATACTTTTCAAGCAGTCTCTCTTGTTTCTGCTAGTGAGCTCCACACACTTCCATTATCAGCTGCAGCTCCCTATGGTCCAGTGGCTCAAAATAACCAGGTAGTTGTAGAACCCTTTAGTCTGAACCAGAATTCAGACACAATGGTCATGGTTCCTGCTTCACAAGATGATCATACTCACATTGGTGAGACAGATACAATTAGAACAACTTTCAGAACACTGGAGACTGAGGCCCTCACTGATTCTAGCCATATTGAGAGAGACAAAAGAGGAGGTAAACAAGGAATAAGTCTGCATGCATTAGAAAGTCACACAGACCTATCAGTAACCCCCAGCCTGGGTACTTTTGATTACAGTGCTCCAGCATCTTCCCAGGCTCTCCTTCCCACACTCCCTCCACCACACTATATAACACATGCACACAATTCAAATGCTCAAATAAATCAAGATTTACTTCAGCCAAATTTAATATGTTCTGATTTCATCCTTCCTGTAGATGGTGCTAGATAGTAGATGCTGTAGTTGTAACTATTTCAATCTCCACTATTTTTTCTTATAACTGAAGAAATCTTTTATTTTATTATTAAATTATGCATATGCCCAGTGAGATTATTAAACTGATAAATAATAAAGAAACTGTGTTGTAGTACTAATGATATTTAACTTAGTTTTTTGTGTTGTACTTTATATTATAAAGGCCCAACGAATTTTTCCAATTGTTAAGATAATTATTGGACAATATTATTATTTTTGTGAATTCCAAAAGAATAAATTTTGATATTTTTTACTCGTTCAAACAACATGCATATTTTGTTTCAGTGTATTAATGTGCATGTTATTTTTTTACTGAAATATGTTCATATGTATGGTATTTCTTTGTTTCAATGTATTGATGTATATATTAGGAAATTTTTGTATGTGAATTCTCCAAAGAAATGTATGTTCTAAAATATAAGAAAGACTGTGATAAAAGAAAGTATTTATTGCAGTAATTTCCTGACTGCAGAGCTTGTGATCACTGTAAACATCACTTGGTAGGAAAGTGGAGTGTGAGTCACTTTGAAATTGTAGCCTAAACAATTGTTGAAGTTAAAATTATTCCTTATTTTCTTATTTAATTAAATATGATATATCAAGTGATATAGTTTGCTAATTACAGTACTGATATTGCCATGAGTTGATATACCATAATGCTAAAGGTACAATTTTGGTCAAATCCTTTACTCAGAATCTAGTAATTTAACATGTACAGTATCAAAAAAGTTAACCCTTAAACATTCTCTCAAGTCAGTTGAAAAATGTATGGGTAACAGACAGAACATTGGGTTTTGTGACTTAATTTTTGCAGGCTTAATTAAATGAGGTGCAACCTGATTTATTCAGGTGAGCATCTTGGGTCTTATGCACCATGTAAATATACATACATACATTTTTTTTTAACACACCAGCCATCTCCCACTGAGGCAGAAAATGACCAAAAAAAGAAAAAAACAAAGGTTTTCCTTTTTTTTATATTTAGAAATTTATACAGGAGAAGGGGTTATGACAGCATGGCTTATGGGGGAAGGGGTTCTTCTCCACTTCCCCTTGGAAAATAAAAACAAACACACACACACACACACACACACACCACACACACACACACACACACACACACACACACACACATGAATACGCATGCTTGCTTCCTACCCTGCCAAGGGTATGTGACTCAACCCCTGCAACCACATACAGGTGAGATTGTACACGCACGCACACACGCACACACAAACAAAACAATATACGTATGTCAGGCCCATATTGGAGTATGCAGCACCAGAAAGGGAAAATCCACACCTGGTCAAGCTTGTCAAGAAAAAGAGAAAGTGCAAAGGTCTGCAACAAACCTAGTCCCAGAGCTAAGGGTTATGTCCTTTGAGGAGAGTTTAAGGGAAATTAACTTGATAACACTGAAGGACAGGAGGCATAGGGGGACACATGATAATGACATGAAATACTGAGAGGAATTGAAAAGGTGGACAAGGACAGATTGTTTCAGAGATGGGACAGCAATAAGGGGTCACAACTGGAAGCTGAAAACTCAGATGAGTCACAGGGATGCTATAAGTTATTTCTTCAGTCATAGAGTTGTCAGGAAGTGGAAAAATTCTGGAGAGTGATGTAATGGGGCAGGATCCATACATAGTTTTAATAAGTAATATGATAAAGCTCTTGGAGCGGGGAGAGAGTGGACCTGGTAGTAATCAGAAAAGAGGCAGGGCCAAGGGTTTGGGGACTCAACCCTTGCAACCACAAATAGGTGTGTGGGCATACACACACATGCACACACTTTGTTGTATGTCATACGTGTTTCCCTACCCCCCCAAGGATGTTGTTAATTAACAAACTGTTTTGTCATAGTGAGAGAACAATATTGTACTTTATGGTCTACTAGTACAGGTATATTATAAATATACGGGTTTATATTTATAATATACCTGGTTTAACAGACCAGACACCAGTAACAATGATACCACTACTGTAGTCATATTTGTAATATGTTTGGTTTAGTGAAGACCATACATAAAACCTAAATAAATGTATATAAAATGAGTAGTAAAATATCTGACCCTTCCTGGGGGATGTAAAAAAGTGATCATCCTGGTGAGACACAATGCTTAATGGGTACACAAAAATTGGTAATGCTTTATTGTATATTATCCCAAACAGTAGTGAAAGTGATGTCATCATTTTTTTTTTTTAACACAGTCGTTTCTCACCAAGGCAAGTGACCCAAAAAAAAAGAAATGCTTTCATCATAATTCACTCCATCACTGTCTTGCCAGAGGTGTGCTTACTCTACAGTTAAAAAACTAAAACATATAAACATCCCTCCTCTTCAAGGGGGGCTCCTTGGCGTGGTGAAGAGGCTCTTGGTTGAGGAATTAGACCTATCGGTCTTCTACCCAGCCCCGAACCTAATTACCCCCCAATCTCCCCTCCCCTATCCCATCCTCCCCATCCTTCCCTTTTTCCTTTCCTCCTCCTCCTCCCCACCCCTCCCTTTTGCCCTTCCTCTTTTTGTCCTTTTGGGGATTTCTCCCACAGGCGCGCTAGTTCCTAGGTAGGGAAAGGATACCGGGGTCCATCCCATTCCGTTGAGGTTCTTGCGGTGGCGTAGTTTGCCGTGGAATCTGGATCGCCTGGGGATGTCCCGATCCCTCTCCGGTATCCCGGAGTAGGCTTTGGGTGTCTTTCGGGCGACGAGTGTATCTTGGAAGCCACCTTTCGGATTCCGGGGGTGGTGGCCGAAGGAGGTATGCTTTGTGGCGGATATCCGGCCGCCCTCTCTTTTGTCCACCGAGGTAGCTCGGCAGATGTTTAGGTTGCTATCCGGATTGTTAGTTTACTGCATGATGGGTAGGGTATGGCACGGGGTTCCATGCTGCATCTGCGCTACTTGCGGTGCTGAGGTCCTCACTGCTAAGGATTAAATCTCTACACCAATATGCAGTAGACCGTTATATTACACGGTAGTTACATTCCTGAAAACACCATGTTAGGTAAATCAATGTTAGATAAACTGAAGAACTTATGAGAAAAATAGGGTTTCATTCCTGGGAGCCCCCAAAAAGCCAAACAACTTTTTTTTTTTTTTTAGACCTCCAAATCTTACAAAAATAAAAGTGAATATTATTGTCTACCTATCCTTCTCACTGACAGAGAGATCTAGGTGCAATAATAAAATTTCTTACTACCTCTTTTCTTAGGAAATCATAAATTGCAAGTATAAATTCTAAGGCCTTTTAACAAAGTAAATCAAATTGGGATGTGAAATTCATATATGTCCACTTTGGGCACCTTTAATGTATTTATCAAAGGAATAAAGCTCTGTTACAACAGAGAGTTTCCAAGATGTACCATGGGTTGTAGACAAGCTACTACTGCATTTGTGGGGGAGGGGTGACCTGACATAAGGTAGGTCATGTGACATACGCTGAGGTAGCTCAGGTTAACCAAAGACTGGTTGTTACACAAGTGCTTCACAATTCTCGCATTGTTACACCTAACCACATATTAAATAATTTTACAATGTACGTTAATTTAACATGATTCCATTTGGTAACTTTATAGATAGCCCCAGATATTATATAGTAGCTATTAATAAGGATATTGGCTCAAAGTACAGTGAACCCCTTACGTTCAGTGGCCACGACTTTCATGAAATCTGACTTTCGGCAACTTTTTTCGGCAAAAATACCCTCACGGTTCATGATTGGCCTCGTGATTCAGCGACCATCTGGTACGCGTCCAACCGGCATCCCACCATCAGCGTGCACACAAAGCTAGCCACCTGCACCATTCACACTCAGTGTGCCATTGTTTATCAGTGACCATTACCCCACGGGTTCATGATACATTTCATAATAATCCATTGTTTTTTGTGCTTGTAACTGCTATATAAGTCACCATGGGACCAAAGAAAGCTAGAAATATGAGAGTGAAGTGCGTGTTTTAGAGCTTGCCAGGATATATGGCAAACACCATTCAACCATCACTTTGATCGTAGCAAAAGGAAAGGAAATCAAGGAAGCTGTTGTTGCAAAAGGGGTAGATATGCTGACAAAAAAGAGATTGCAAATACTCGAAGAAGTGTAGAGGTTATTGTTGATGTAGCTTACCCAAAAAACAGTTAGCAGGAGATAGTGTTATGTAGTCGATAATTTGTTAAACAAAATGCCTGCAACAAGTGCTGATGTTTGTGATTTTAAGGCCAGCAAAGGATGGTTTGAGAGATTAAGAAGCATAGTGGCATACACAGTGTGGTAAGGCAAAGTGAGGCTGCCACTTCTGACAAAAAAGCAGCTGAAAAATATGTTGAGGAATTCAACGGGTACATACAGACTGAACAGTTCAAACCCCAACAAGTGTTCAGTTGTGACAAAACAGGCCTGTTTTGGAAGAAAATGCCGAAGAGGACCTACATCATGGCACTGCCAGGACTTCAGCCTATGAAAAACAGGCTAACTCTCATGTTCTGTAGTAATGCTAGTGGGGATTACAAAGTAAAGCCTTTACTGGTGTATCACTCTGAAAATCCCAGTGTTCAAGAAAAAGAGTGTCGCCAAGAGTAAACTGTGTGTGATGTAGAAGGCAAACAGTAAGGCATGGGTCACGAGAGACATTTTCCTTGATTGGTTTAATGAAGTGTTTGGCCCCAGTGTGAAGAAATACCTCCTGGAAAATAAATTGGAACTCAAGTGCCTCCTGGTAATGGGCAATGCTCCTGCTCATCCTCCAGACTTGGAAGAGCAAATGGTGCAGGAGTTTCGTTTCATCACAGTGAAGTTCTTGCCCCCTAATACCACTCCTCTCCTCCAGCCCATGGACCAGCAGGTCATTTCAGACTTCAAAAGCTGTACACCAAAGCAGTGTTTCAAAAGTACTTTGAAGTGACCTCAGACACTGAATTGACCCTAAGAGAGTTCTGGAAAGATCACTTCAGTATCCTCCATTGCATAAATCTTATAGGTAAGGCTTGGGAGGGAGTGACTTGCAAGACTTTGAACTCTGCTTGGAGAAAACTGTGGCCACAATGTGTACAAGAGAGAGATTTTGAAGAGTTTGGGGCTGACCCTAAGGAGCCTATGCCATTGTGGAAAGTATTGTGGCATTGGGGAATTCCATTGGGTTGGATGTGAGTTTCGAGGATGTGGAAGAGTTGGTGGAGGACCACAATGAAGAGCTAACCACTACAGAGCTGCAAGACCATCTGCAACAGCAACAGACCACAGCTCAGGAAATTGCTTCAGATGAGGAGGAAGAGAGATGGAGGAAGGTGCTTTCTTCAAAGATTTAGGACATTTGTGCAAAGTAGATTGAAGTGCAAACATTTATTGATGAACTTCACCCTGGCAAAGCTGTTGCAGGCCATGTTGGGAACATGTACAATGACACTGTTGTGTCCCATTTTAGGGAAATCTTAAAGAGATGCCAGAAACAGAGCTCTCTGGACAGATATTTTGTGTGACAGGGGTCCAGTGACTCTCAAGCTGGTCCCAGTGCCATTAAAAAACAAAGAAGGGAAGTAACCCTGGAAAAGGACTTGGTACCTGAAGTCTTTATGGAAGGGGATTCCCCTTCCCAACAATAGTACTGTATACCTTCTTCCTCCCCTCAAGGAAGGTTCCTTGATGCTGGTGAGGGGCTCTTGATCTAGAGAACTGGATCTGTTTACCTGGAGTTTACCTGGAGAGAGTTTCGGGGGTCAACGCCCCCGCGGCCCGGTCTGTGACCAGGCCTCCTGGTGGATCAGCGCCTGATCAACCAGGCTGTTGCT